ACAATATCATGGATGTGTTTTCAGACCAATTCCCCCCCACTGTTAGTGTGGGTATTACTATTTGACAGATTAATTATATTGCAGCAGACTGAAAAGAAACAAAGGGGCAAATTACCTCTGAATAAAGAATATTTGATTGAAATGTATGAAACAATATATATCAAGTTGTCAGATCACAGCTGATGGTGACATCTAAGTAATCGTGCATACATACTGTGTAATTGCATTCAATGATACTTTAATAGTTGTACAACAATGTAGAAATGTGAAGAATTTATTATCATAAGTATAGTGCAGCAACACAGAAAGATTATGTTCATGATAATTCTATGGCCCCATTGCATGCTGGGAAGCCATTAGACGCTCCTATTCCATGTACTCTGCATGATGTTGAAGTTTCCTACAGGTAGGCCTGACAGTTTTAAACTTCAAGATAATTGGTTATTTATTCAGAACTTTGTGTCTATGTATATGTTGATCTTGATTGACAGCTGAGCTGAAGAACTTACTCCATTTATTTTATTTTCAGTTGCACAGGTCCACCTGTTTTCAACCTTAAAGGAGGTTTAATAAGCCAGAGAGACTTAAAATGTATTTGTATTCATCCAAAGGGCATTTAAATTCATCTCCTTTCGTCTAATCCCCCTTTATTACTGAAGTAGATTACAATCAGAGGACAATCTGGAAGCAATTAGAGATGATTTCCACCTGGCTTCACCTGCTCGTTAACGTCACGGAACAGCAGGTGGGCCAGAGTTTGGTAAACCAGAAACTGTTGTTGTGCAACATAACAAACATTAGGAAGTAATGGAAACACAGATTTCTGGAAAACAATGATTAGGTACACACAAGCAAGCTGACTACCTAATAATATATTTCATACCTCAATTCTTTACAGCCACGGACAGAAAAAAAAGGCTATGTTTGACAAATAATCTAAAAATAATGGACTCCTGGGATTTGCAAACCGAAAAACATGCTAGCTTGTGGTCTGGAATCATGGGATGCGAAACAGAATGATGCGTTTATCAAATAATGAAAAAAGATTTGATGTTTTGGGGAAACTAATTTTTTCATACCCATAATCAGAACAGGAAATGTGTTTTTAATGTAATTTCTCTGCTTGAGAAAATTCCATCAAAAGTGGAAAATAATGACACCATCTAAAGTAGTTTTTGTGTGTTGTCGAATAGCCAAGCTATGCAGTTTTTGGTCTTGAAAGATAGCTAATACACAATATGCTGTGTATGTGCAATGCAAGTAATTCCTGCTCCGATCTATATCTAACTCTGAGACTGTCACTTTAGGATTTGTGTCAGGCCATACATGGTCAAACGTCAAAAGTAGCATCCAGGCATTGATTGTAAAGTTGCATGATGAAAACCATCATATGTAACATGTATCTTGTGCTCTAACTCTGACCAGCTGTTCCAGATAAACACTGAGCAAAGAAAACATGTCTGAGGCTACAAAAGGTGGAGAATGCTTGGGAAATTATACTTTTAGGACTTTTTCTTTAAGGTTCAGATTTTATTTTATGCCAATCCCGTTCCAACTCTTATAGAATCAGGGTTCAGTGGTGCCCTTTGAACAAAACGAGCGCATTTCATTTTTAGTGTATTTAATTGTTATATTGCAAATACATACATGTGTTGTACTGGCTATTATCCTAGTCAGTGTAAGAGACAAATCAACAATAACCAGGATATGGTCCTGATTTATTATTATATGGCATTATCTGAAGTTTTATTGTAATGTTGGTACTGTGTCTAGAAGCCCATAAATCTCAGCTCGTGTTTCTCAGAATATCATCTGGTGTATTTGAAAATGAATCTCCTGTGATTCTTTTGTGCTTTTGCAGAGGAGCAGTGCTTTTATAAGCAGTCTGAGACCCTTTTTCCATAACTGAATATTACAACAAAATTAATGAAAAACGTTGACTCAGATGGTTAGATAACATCACATTTTGAATGAATGCATGATGACCACAAAAGGCATCAAGTGATGATTTGTGCTGTGAGATTTAGTGAGGCATGAAAGCCGGTGCGACTAACAAAGCCTGTTTATCCCTCAGTCTCCTGTTTGTCACTTTGTCGGACAGAGCCCTGAAATGTGTCAGCCCTTTACTTAATACCTGTCGTGGTTACGTATCAAACTAGAGCTTTGGTTATTGTGCCACCCGCGTCAATGTGCCTCCGTATGTGTGTGTTGTGTTTGTTTGAGTGTGTCCCCACTCAACCCTTGACTGATGTAGCTGTAGCCTCATTTTAGTTTATGAGGTGAGGGACCGCTGGGTGTTACCCTAGCTGCCATTTTAGACGAGGATGCTGGGAACGGAGTGCCTCGCGGGGGCTCCTATCTATCGTAATTATCTCATCGCCAGGGGTTGGACAGGGGGCTCGGACCTCGCTCGCCTCCTTGAGCTTCCCTCGGCTCCTCACGTGTGCACACGTCCAGGAGCTCAGGGGCCTGAAGCGGGTGCCGGCATGGCCTTACAGAACCTCAGCGTGCCGCGCTGCTATTGGACAGATTTCTATCCCACTGAGGAATATGTTATCTAATGCATACTGTTGAGAGTAGCAGGATCTACATCAGACACAATTAGATGTGTGATTTGTCCTATCTTAAGTTATTTGACTCCCCGATTAGAACTGTATAACACATCCCTCCTGTTTTGGTTTATCATTGTTAAATATCTAGGCACGGTGCAGCCTATTTACACCAGCCTTCTCTCTGTGGGCCGTGTTGTTGGCGCCCTGCCTGGCCTCAGTTCTTAATCTCCACAGGAAGTTTGCATCTGTGTTCTCATTCCCCTGACAGGATGTGCGTGTCTGTGTTATGGTCCCCTGGTAGGACACCACAGATGGCGAAGGGCTGGCTCTGACAAAGTTGGCTCCTCATTTGTTCATCACTACGTGTATTGACCCGGCTCCTGCAGCGCTGTGACATTAAGCAGACTCTGCTTTTAGATCAGGACCCAAAACGACAAAATACAAAACATTATCTTTTTCATATTCGAGTGGGTCCACCGTCTGTGTCAAGAGTAATTGTGTCTTTTATTAAACTTTCACATGGGGATTAGCTCCTATTATCTGCTGTATAATTGTGCAGCACTCCTCATAATGACATCATCTGCATTTGTCATGCCGGGGGGGGGGGGCCGTATCCCACCCAGCTGGTAGCTTTCTGTTGATGCTGTCTCTGATCTGTGTTCCCCACATCAAAAGCAGACATCCCCCGCTGAACTCACCCCCCCCCCCCCCCCCCTGTCCCCCATCCTCTCCACCCAGACTCTGTCACACACAGCTGTTTCCCTCATGCATCTCTCTCTGCCCACCGAAGCTCTGATGCATCTCTCACCTTCTCCTCACCTTCTCCTCTCCACCTTTCTGTCTCTCACCTCTTATTACCTCTCAGCGGCTTTAAATCTTACTTCCAGTTCACTGCTTTTATTCTCTCTTGCCTCTCTCATCTGTGACTCTATCTCCTTTTCTTCTCCTCCTCTCTCTAGCACTTACTCTGTTTGTCAATATGTTTTTCTCTTTCTGAGTCACCCCTCCTCTGTACCCCTCAACATCCAGTTTTTCTCTTTATGACTAGCATGGGATATTACTACCAGGACTTCAATCTCTGGATACACATTAGAATAACACTTGCGGTGAGAAAACATTAAAATAAATGTCCCCTTCGGTAGAACTTTGAGGTCATTTTAGAGACTAAATTATAACCGTGGCAATAGTAAAGTGATTTCCTGTATATTAGACAATGTACTGACTATATTAGTTATTATAACAAAGGAATTTTTAGCCCCGAAACACCTCCCTATCAAAATGAAATCTCACCTCAGAGTATTCCCATAATGACTAAATACCGGCAGAGCTTTAAGACTATACATAGTGTGTCACGTTCTCTCCTTCTCACTTTTGCCTGACACATTTGAGGCTGACGTAAGGAGAGCCTATATTTGGGTGGTGTCATCTACAATATTACAGCTTCTTGTCAGCAGCACCTCCCCTCTCTGAGCTGGATATCTTTCGTGATGAGACACGTGCAGGTGTGTCACATGAATCATGCCCGACTTGCTATAAGTAAATTTAAATTATGTTACTAAATGTCACATTAACAACATTGTGTTTGCCTCTCAGGAGAAAAGCCAAGATAAACATTTCATAAACATTTTCATAATGTACGGCTCTGCTTGTTGACAATTTTTAGGGTTTGTATTACTTCAATTCTCGATTGCAACTCAGCAATTTCTGCCCCGTTGTTTAGAACATTGCACTGCAATACTGTGAGGCTATATAAGGAATGTGATGAGGTTAGATGAGTGGTGCTTTTACAACATCAACAAGTGATGGCAATTATGAGCCAAGATAAATCTGATTTTATGATTGCACTGATGGATTTGTTTCTACAAATGTCTAATTATGCATGTGTTCACTGGTCTTTAGCTAGACTAATCGTATCACTTAATTGATCATGACCTTTAAAATGACATTACCTCTTGTAATTATGTATTACATTATGTATAATTATGAAACAACACTGCTCTTTTTCTGTTCATCATTTAACGGCTAAGCTCTTTTTTGTGTGTGGCCTACTATAGTGTTTTGTCAAAGCAAAACTGCATTTCAGTTGATAACACTTTGTTGCAAGTAAAGTTTGTCATTTTGACCTCAAATATTAGCTTATAACATTGCTGTGGATGTAGAGATCAGTTGTGTTACATAGGTTGTTGTGCATTTAAATGTCTGCAAAGGTTCAAATCCCAAAGTTCCCTCCAGAGGGAGTTTCTCTCCCCCACAGGAGAAGATATTTGTGGGTGTAGGGCTGAGTACTGTAGTGACTTTTGCAGCCTCTTTTTGTGCCTAGAAGAAATCAAAAGAAGGATGTTGTGTGGGTTTATCCTGCATGTGTTCTGGTCTTGAAAGCACCGATGGGCTTTGAATCTGATTGTTACATTTGTTTTACTAAATCTTCCTCCTCTCTTTGTGTCTCAGGAATCTGAGCAGCCATGACGAAGTCTTACATTTTCAACTGGCAGAAGCACCTGCCTGAGTTCATGCAGGAAGGTGCCTCCTTCGACAGGTTTGATGAGGTAAGCATGATGCAGTTTGCGGTCGCTACATTTGTGAAAAGAATGTAAAATAAACAGCTTCCTGAACTGAAGCATATTATCACCTTGTCTGATGTAGTGAAGAAATGAAATGTCCTGTACGTCTCGTATGAGGCCTGTAATGGGAGGTCTACGAGTTTGTCAATAACCTTGTTGTTGGGGGTTATTTGCTTTGTCTTATCATCCTTCATCCTTGATAACCGTCCCCCGGTCAGTCATTAGCGTGCAAACACAAATACACACACATTGTGGCAAAGGCATCTCTTTATTACCTGAGACATCATTGTGGTGGTCCAGGCTCTGGCTGCAGGCAGGACACATTGATCAGCCTCATTAAGAAGCCTCAGTGTGGAGACTGCTGGTCTGCAACACGTCCCCCGAGTCCCAACCATCTCTCTGAAAATATTATATTTGTTGGATCACAGTGACTGAATATGTTCTATATGTTTATTTTAATTGAATTGAAGTCTAATTGGAATTTAGAAATATCATTTCGACTCATGAGAAAATGTAACAACAGCTTTTGAGTACAGGAAGTATTGCTTGCTTCTGGGATTTCTGCAGGGATCTGAAGGGCTAGCTATGTTACTGTTGTGTAAAATGTGAGCTTTATACCTATAAACCATGATACAATGACAAAGTGCTTTGCCAAAGATTACAAATCTAAAAGACATAATGAACATCAACAGAATGAAAACTGAGCTCATAAAATATAAACCAATCAATCCAAGCTGATTTTTCAAACCTAATAATATAGAATTATTTCTCAAACTTGCCTCTTTAGCCAATACCATCCATCCATCCATCCCTGTCAGATATTGATTACTTATATAATTAATAATGATAATAATCATTTATGCTTTCATTATGAATTTCATTTGATTAAGTAATACATGTTATTGTCATTCATTGTCTTTCATAATCGGAAATTTGCCAACGCATATCAAATGTCACGCCAATAAAGGCTATTGAATTGAATTATAAAAAGGTTTAGACAAATCTTTACCAATAACATTAGTCTCAGCAATTAGCCATCATGCTCTTTGTGTCTGTGTGTATACGACACGTATATCTTCCTGTCTTATTGCCCACGTTTCCTCTGACTAACTTAATCAGGACACTAAGCTAGGACATTTGCCGAGCAAAGCACACACACACACACACACACACACACACACACACACACACACACACACACACACACACACACACACACACACACACAGCAGGAAATCCCCCCAGTCCTCTCCGTGTATCTGGCCATCAGTCAGGGGAGGAGGATCCCTCTTATGCTGAGGAAAAAACTGTATTATAGCAACTCCAAGCTACCCCCTGGCGCCGCCCCTCCTTCCAAAACACGTCGCGCATTGTTTATGATAGCGACGTTTCTGATAGGGCCGTGGGTGTAAAGCCAGCACACATTTCCTATATTACGTCATATCGGACGCAAATCTGGATCAGCTCCGTTCTACTCCCGTTTTTAGAGATTTGGGTACGGAGGAAAAGGGAGAGGGTTTTGTTTTCTGACACTTTGTGAGTCTTCTTACACACCGGGGACACATATGTATGCATAAAAGACATCAAAGGTGCATTTTGCATGATAGGAGACCTTTAAATGTTAAAATCACATTGACGTCAACTCTTGCCTGTCTCCCCAGTTTAGTGTGTGGAAGTAGAAAATTGTACAGTCCTTTATTTAGTCACAAAATAGGTGTTTTATTTGTAAACCAGTAGCTAATGTTAGCCCATGTTATGAACTGTCTTTCTTTCTGTGTGAGTGTGTGAGTGAATAGCTGTTGCTCTGTTGCAAGGCAAATACAAAGCCTTGTTGTGTTCCGTCAAGCTAACCTGGAGAAAGCATTGGAGGAGGCTTATGGATAAGCTATAGATTTCCAACAGTTAATTAGTGTTCATCTTAGAGTGAGATCTTTTTGAGGGGTTTCCCTCATTAACATGACCAGAGACAGCAAGGTCAGAGGTCAAAGAAATCTTTAGTGATCAGTCATGCTGACAGCCGAGAGGATTTCTCGTGTGCATGTGTGTGTCATTGTCTCCATGATTGGAAATCATTACTTAAGATCTGGCTGTTGTTTTGCCTCCATGGAGACAGAACGGCCTCATATTGACAGGTCGTTAATGAAGGCAGAGAAAAACAGGTCAGAATTGTGAGGCACTGAAAATATAATGTACCGACAGCATCAGGGTACTTTTTCTCTCTTTGCTTCTTGATGATTGCTCGAAATGTATCAGACATAAGAGATAATTCACTTAAAACGAAATAAAGCTTTTAAACCAAAATGAATATATATAACAAAATAAGGAAAGACGAGATATAATGAGAGTAATTCATAATCCATTCTGTAAGTCATTTACTGCTGGGCTCCATTTGGTCAGAGTATATATGCAGCACTTCCTGTTTCATCACCCATCCAATGGCTCATATTAATATATTATTATATATATATATATAATTTATGAAATGCTAATGGGGATGTTTATATGTACAATAACGTGTGTATGAATGACTCAGATAGGATGTGTGTGAGTGTTTCACATTCCACGATTGTGTGTATCACATCTAGATGCTTTCTTTCTGCTAAAACCAAATAACCTGGTTTTGCTACACTCACCAAGGCACTTAGAAAAGAATGTAGTTTTATTAAAAGGGAGCTGGACTACCCTAACTCGTATCCATCCACATCCACCCATTGCTCCTATTCGTGAGGAAGCACTGAGTGTTCCCATAAAACATATAGTTTTACAAGAACCGTCTGTATGTTCTAAACAGTCTGTGACAGTATCTTTCATAAACCTCTTTCAGTCCCATTCAGAATTAAGAGAGGCGAGCTTTTAGCTGCACTCACAGCAGGCTCAACATTTCCTTGATGGAAAGAAGATGGTTCGATTTATGGTGGTTTTCGATAACAAGATGTAGCCAAATAAAGCAAACTTAATCCAATTTGCAGCATTGTATCTCATTAAAGCAACATAATAAATAAGACATTATTTACAAGTACGACACATTGTTCCTTACCACTAATATCAGTCAGAGTGACCCAGCAGCCGTCTCCTATTCTTTTCTTACATTTTATAACTGTGGTTTGAGTGCTTTTCGACACGGCCATTCATTCACACTCCTGTTGAGAAGAATAGGGCCGCTGCATGTTGCACAGGAGCTGATAGATGGGCGCACAGACTTTAAATCTCCCTCCCACACATGCAGAAACACACATGCACCTCACCCAGGGCTGTCCCCTCTAAAGCACCGCTCTGTGTTCCAGCCAGATGATGTTTGTATTAAACAGTTCATAGCCGACACATTTGTGTTTGCCCTAGCAATAGATTTCCTCTCCTCAAGCAACATGTGTGTGTGTGTGTACATACTGAACGTATTTGCACATACTTTGTTTGATTTTGCACGTGTGTGTGTGTCTTCAGCCAGTCAGGTACCTCTTTTAAAAGAAGGATTAGCTTCATCTGTTTGTCTGGTTGCGTAACCCCTGTGTGTTTTTAACAGGTCGGCTGTTTAATGTCTCCCCATGTCAAATAAAACCCTGTGACTGATGAAGCCCTCGTCTCTTATAAAACATGTTGTTTTTTTCCTCTGCAGGACCCGTACGTCTTTGAGCCCAACTGTCAGATGACGGTGGACGAGTTTGGCTTTTTCATCTGCTGGAAGAGTGAGGGGAAGGTAAACTCAATGACTCATGAAAGTGTATTCTCTTGTCTAATGGGTCCTTTCAAAGTATTTGGATTGAGTCATGTTTATTATCGTATTGAAATCGTTTTTTTTCCCTGACACAAACCTTTCTTGATCCTTGGAAAACTCCAGACCATGTAAAAAATAAAATCATAACACATACATCAGCATACAATCATAATTCTGCCACTCATAAACAGAGTAAGCTGCATTTATTGTATTAGTTTATTTAACAGGGACAGTGCATACTGGTATATTCTGGTATTGTAGTACAACATGTGATTTTACGGACGTCTAGAGACACGTTTGTCAAGAGGAATTTCACTTTATTCTTTGTTTAACAAGTCCATTTGAATAAGAAAACAAATTATTTAAAACTGTCGCCTTGGCAAATATAATGTGTTCCTAATCAAGGCCCCAAAACTAAAAAATGTAATTGTATTTGCATCTATCAGAGATTTGGGCCATACTTCTAATTTTCTTTTTTGTCATAACAATTTTTCCAATGCATTCTGTTACATTGATTGCCTTTCCTCTATCTGGCCGGTTGCTTTCACTGCATGCCCGTTCGCTTTTACAATCACCCAATGGAGATTATAGGTAATCAATCATAGTCAACGTCCGCTTCTCTTTTCATGCATTCTTTACCCCTGCTTATCCTGTGTTGTGATGCAGGAGTCTGTCTCACCGCAAATTATTTCCAAATTGAACCATGTGTAATAACCATCTTGAAAGCAGTAAACAAAGGAGGAAATGTTATCAGTATTGGAAACTTGATTAAGGGGGAGATGTGGAGATGTTTCTCATAATAACCCACATCTTGTGGTGTTGCCGCTGTGTATTAGAAATGATTGCCAAACAAATAAAAAGCACTGTGACCCATCCATCTTGGTTTCTAAATATTTCCCCCCTCTCACCCCTCTCTGTCTCCCTCTACCTATTTCCTCTTCATCTTCCCGTGTCTCTCTCCTGCAGGAAGGCCAGGTTCTCGAGTGTTCGCTCATCAACAGCATTCGCGTCGGCGGCGTCCCAAAGGTGAGACCTCGAGAAGAGACAATTTCCTCGCTTCTGTTTTGTACAACATTCACGCTCTCCGCCCACCACACCCAGCGTTCGGTCTCCTGCTCGCTCGCAGTGGCATTCCTGGTAAAATCCAGGGGGAGTCCCACGTCTGTCATGTTATCCCTGCTTTAATTAGAGAAGTCTATCGATCCACTGACTGATCTGGGACAGTGTGTTAAACCTCTTCTCTCTACCAGATTCTCCAGAGGCAGAAACATGAAATATTCAACTCAATATTTATACAACCCTTGCTGGGTTTAGCTCCAGGATGTATGTATCAGAATGTTTGTGTTTGCTTTAGAGGAATTATTAGAAATTGTGCTTTTTGATTGCGAACACAATATAATAATAATAATAATAATAATAATAATAGATTTATTTTGTTAGCGCTTTTACAGGTGCTCAAAGACGCTTTACAGATATAGTGAAAAGAAAATAACAACAAATAAATATATATAGTTAAAGTTAAAGTCAAATAATACAAATTATAATATAATTTGTGAGTTTTTTGAAGGTGGTGAGATCAGTGCAGTCTCTGATGGGTTGTGGGAGTGAGTTCCAGAGGGAGGGGGCAGCGACGGAGAAGGCTCTGTCCCCCCAGGTCCGGTGATTGGTGCGGGTGGGGATGGATAGGAGGTTGGCTTCTGATGAGCGGAGGCAGCGGGAAGGGGTGTGGTGGTGCAGCAGGTCTGTGAGGTAGGGGGGGGGGCCTGATTGTTGAGGGCTTTGTAAGTAATTAGGGGGACTTTGAAGTCGATTCTTTGACGGACGGGGAGCCAGTGGAGGTTCTGGAGGACGGGAGTGATGTGGTCTCGGGAGCGGGTGTGGGTGAGGAGGCGGGCAGCAGAGTTCTGGATATGTTGGAGTTTATTGAGGAGGTTGGATGGTATGCCGGCGTAGAGGATGCTATTGCAGTAGTCGAGTCGTGATGTGATGAATGCATCACATGGTTAGGGTGTGTGACTGTGGGATCCCTTACCTTCCCTTACTTTGTGATCAGAAACTGATCTCGAAATAGCCATTATGAACCGACACGCTGCTTTGTTCTGTATTTTCAGAGCAGCTGGCACCATTCAGTTACTTATTTAGCCGATATAGAGCCAGATCCACAAACAGAATCCTGTATGGTTTCCCTGTATCTTCAATATTGATTCATGCAGTTTATCCTCGACAGTGAAACATTATGTCGTAGCGTTTGGCATCATACGGAATTGATGAATTATGAAAGCTGTTAGGAGAATCCCCATGTGCGGGACGCCTGCCGATAATTAGGATGCAAACCTGTCAAGCCACTGAAAGTCAAACAGCTGACAGGAGACACTGGTGTGTACACAAGCATTACCGTGTTGTGTACGCATTGTTGACAGCAGGAGGGGGTCTGTTTGCCCGGCCCTCCCGTGTGGACGTGTGTGTGTGTGTACATGTGTGCGTGTGTACATGTGTAAGGGCACGTATACAGACTGTACAGCCTGCAGGCAGCTCCTCCTGTTTGCTCAAAACATCGTATACCGTTCTGTCAGTCGCACACAAGCGAGAGCAGGGCTTCTCCTCGGAGGCTGACGCGGGTACACGAGCCCCCGAGAGCTGTTTCAGATAATCCAATGAGAGCCAGAAGATGAATGGCACAGGGTAATTGCTGGCTGGGGTTTTCAAACAGCAGAGCCTGTTGCCTGTTGCAGCTAATTCAATTCTTTAACAAAAATACATTACGCTCTGCCATGGTGACGATGATGGTGGAAATCTGAAAAGATGAGAGGAAGGAGTCGTGCTGTTTCATTGATAGTGAGATAATATTTTTGTGGGTTTCCTGGTTGAGATCTTTTATTGGGGAAATAACTTCTTCTTCAGGTCTTTAAATGTCACATGGTTATATATTATGGTATCTAGTGTAATATGTGCATTTACTTTTCAGCATTAAATATAGATAGTTGATATTAAGCCTTTTCACCCTTTATTTAACCCTTATAAATGCATACAAATGATTCAAATCCGATTGAGATTCTATTTCTAAGGACAGTGGTTGTTTTCTATATTTTTTGTTGTTAGAGATTATTGGTGGAGTGAGGCAAATAAGAAACAAAGGCCAACACTTGTGTAGTTAGGACCAATAATAGTGTTGTTCCCTATCGCTATTGTTCTTTTGTTGTGCATTCAAATTAGCTTCCCCACTTTTATGATGTGTGCTCAATCACAATACAAATCACTTTGTTTCCCCTCGTTTTTGTTATTATCTGGATTTCGGCCATAAACAAACGCATTTGACTGCTTTACAGAAATGAAAACTCACTGACATAGAAGACAGAAAATCATGTTTAGGTGTCATAGGATTGTATTTGTTTTTCCAACAAATAGAAACCTACTCAGAAGCCACCATTGCATTACCCTACATGCGTCAACTGTATTGCTAAAAAAAACAAGATAATTATCAATCTGTCTTAATTGTTGATTGGTATTTGGCTTTGGCTGAAATTAAACCAAACTACACTCAAATATACTTAGCTACTTCCTGTCAGTTCCATCATGTTGCTCACCACTCGTCTGCTCACCTTCTCCTACCTACTCAAGTAAAGTGGCGTCTGAAGTGTTGCTTTCCACCACTGTGAAACACATCCAAAGCATCGAGCCGCTGAGTTGTTTTTTGAATGTATTATTGTAATCTGGTCCTCCATGATGAATGTCCATTGTATCCCTTTTTGGCTGACACAGAGCTTTATGTCTCTCAGACATGATCCTCATATTCCTGAGGCTTTTCTACAACAGCAGTAAACATTTCAACTGCCTTCTCTCTAAGCTTCTTCCCCATTGTGTTCTGTCATTTGTGACTATTTACTGCAAAGATACCGGAATAAGAGATCCCCTTAGATTTCTTTAATTTGTATGTAAAACCTCTCTACATTTCTGAGGCTATGTGACACCTGAACTGTTTCTCAATTAAAAAAACTGAAGTACTTATGTTTGATATTTTTTGTTCATAAGTGTGCAAAGTATGGCAAAAGGCAGTGCACTTTGAGTAATCATAACGGTCTAAAAGTTGAGTGTGGATAGTGGATACTTCTCCCACCCAACAGCTGCCATATTGGCTACATACAGGAAGTAAAAGATACTGTAGCTGTTGCGGTTGCTCCAGTAATGTACAAATAAAAGTGATACATGTTTTTTTCTCCACAATTTAAGAAACCTACCACTATCATGGGGTTAAAAAGAGGCCATCGATACATTTATAGGGTTAATTGAGCCGTCTGTATTGATTTAGTACTGCAAAGGATCGTAGCTAGCTAGCTCACTTCCTGTGAGTGCACACCATCTGTTTTTGAGACATTCACACACTGCACTAATGTTTTCAGTGCACAATATGGCAGTGCAATAAGCAGGGACCTCACTTAGTCCAAATGAAGACACATCACTGTAGACCACTTGTTTCTGTTTCCATCCCCGTTTCTTTCTCGGGATGCTTCTGTTTCTTGCTGTCATCTTTTGAGGCATGTATTTGTCTATCTGTCTGACGCTCTTCTTGATTTCGCTTTTTCTCAGGAACCCAAGATCTTGGCATCATTCGAGGCCCTTGGAAAGACAGAGTCGGACTTAGAGGGCTGCATCATCTGCATCTGCAGCGGCACAGACCTGGTCAACCTCAACTTCGTGTTCATGGTGGCCGAGAGCCCGGACACAGCCAGGGTAAATACAAACAAGTTTGCTTCTTATGAATGGAGAAGTGAAATGATACAATATCTATGACCTGCAGAACTAGAGAATTGGTTTGATGTTCCTCATATCAAAAGTCAGTGCTGCTTTGACAAATCCGTCTTTTTTTCAGGTGATTTTGTTTTGATTTTGTTGGTTAGAAAAACATGTTCTGGGAATAAAGCCGGTATCAACTCTGCCTAGCACATTGAGTTCACCCACACTTTCCTTTAACACTTCCACATCATATACAAGGAACCCTTACACAGCAAATTATTACTTCAGAAAGAAAGCAAATTGCTAGGTGAATGGTTCACATGCTAACTCCTACGCGGCCTTGGTTCTCTCTGATAAACAGACACATTTGGAATGAGTCATTTCTCCCTGTCTCACCTCATCTCGATCTCCCCTTGAGACCTCCGCGCTCCTGCTTCTGCTGTTATTTTCTCATCCTTTTTGTCTCGCTCTTTGTCTACTATCTCACTCTACCTCTGATTTTCTTCCCACTCATCTACAAAAAAAGCTCTTTGAGAAATCTGACTGCCACTCCATCCATCTTGTTCTCACTCATGAATTCATTTTAGTTTGGAACAGATGAGATTGTCTGATTCATTGATTATGCTTTATTTGCACGAATGTCAAACGGACAATCTTGCCAAGTAATAATAAGCATATTAAGAGAAAAGAAACAATGAATCCCTTGTTCCATCTTGTGTGTGTGTGTGTGTGTGTGTGTGTGTGTGTGTGTGTGTGTGTGTGTGTGTGTGTGTGTGTGTGTGTGTGTGTGTGTGTGGTGTGTGTGTGTGTGGTGTGTGTGTGTGGTGTGTGTGTGTGTGTGTGTGTGTGTGTGTGTGTGTGTGTGTGTGTGTGTGTGTGTGTGTGTGTGTGTGTGTGTGTGTGTTGTGTGGTGTGTGTGTGTGTGTGTGTGTGTGTGTGTGTGTGTGTGTGTGTGTGTGTGTGTGTGTGTGTGTGTGTGTGTGTGTGTGTGTGTGTGTGTGTGTGTGTGTGTGTGTGTGTGTGTGTGTGTGTGTGTGTGTGTGTGTGTGTGTGTGTGTGTGTGTGTGTGTGTGTGTGTGTGTGTGTGTGTGTGTGTGTGTGTGTGTGTGAGAATTTAAGAGGCAATTGATTTGCTTGTGTTTATTTCCCCCATGACACTCACTTCTAAACACAATGCACACTCTGGGAGTGTATGCAGGCGCTGGTTGGTCAGTGTGTTGACAGTGTGTGTCCTGAACACTGGTGCTTGTTTGTTTTGCAGAAATGGATCGAGGGTCTCAGGTCAGTGATTCACAACTTTAAGGCAAACAACGTCTGTCCAATGACCTGCCTCAAGAAACAGTGAGTGCATTTTACATTAGAACACTTCTAACTTTACGAAGTACAACTCTGGTATGAGAAATATCCTAATTGTTGGTTTTTTTCATGTCTCATTTAGTTGGATGAGAATGTGCTTCCTGACCAATGTGAATGGTAAAATTCCCGTGAGAGGGTAAGAATAAATTAGATATTTGGTACAATTATTTGGCCATCCCAGTTACTCTCATCTGTCTCACACTGTGTTTCTCTCTGATTCTTTCACAGCATTACTCGAACATTTGCATCAGGAAAAACGGAGAAGGGGATCTTTCAGGCTCTGAAGGACCTCGGCCTTCCGAGTGGAAAGGTCAGACACTGACTGAAGGCCGCAGTGGTCAGACGGATGATATGTGACACTTTAATCTGGAGGTGTAGATCTCTCACGGCTTGTTTATCTCCCACAGAACGATGAGATTGAACCTTCAGATTTCACCTTTGACATTTTCTACGCGCTCACACAGAAGATCTGCCCTCGCACAGACATAGAGGAACTCTTCAAGAAAATGTGAGTCTGCTTTTTATTATTTTTTAAACCTGCCCACTGTTTTCTTGGTAATCATGTTTACTGATTTTTTACCTCACAATTAATACTAAAAGATGACCAATCGTCCAAATAAGCAACTTAACTGTAGCCCCCCAGCATTGTTTATACCCATGTTACCCTGTGCAGAAACAGAACAATGATATATTCCCCAAGTGTGAGCCACTGCATCTTTTTTGAAATAATCAGGACAAATGTTTCTGCGCCTGCTGCACTAACTTTGTCTGGACAGCCTAACCTGCTTCCACAGTTAAATACGAGTGATTATTAACATGTTGTTACTAAACGTGTAACATTTAAGTATGACCCCCTTTTTATAAAGACTGCTTTCTAATTTTAACTGACTGAATGTGTGAATGACTGTGAGGGTGTCTATTTATAAGAAGCATAACATTTTGTTTCTCTAATGAATTCCTTTGCAGCAATGGGAAAGAAACTGATTATTTAACTGTAGACCAGTTAGTCAGCTTTCTGAATGAAGTAAGCTCTTTATCATTCATTAACTTCTCTGTGTTTTGCTTGCTGCAACCCCATCCTGCTCTGCCCCGTCCCACTCTGGGTAGAAGTTGCCCTCCAGCCCGGCTGCACGGACCCTGACCCTCATTAAAGGCCCTTAAATGAAAAGTCCTTTTTTAATGAGGTGCACAAAGTATTTAACCTCCAGTCAACCTGCAAGGGCAACTTCCACCAGCTCCCCTTTTCTGAATTCCCGCCCTCATCCCAATCCCCCATGTGCTGGCTACCGCGGCTCTCCTCCTCGTGTCTGATTTGAGTTGCCACGGCAACGGGAGGGTAGAGGTTCCCGTCCTGTTGCTTCCTGCTCAGCTCGTCTCGTTTCCTGCTGTCTGTGTCTGTTTTCTGTGGCCGTGCTCTTGTGTTTGGATGCCTACCTGCCCGCCACCCCCCCCCCCCCGCTGTGTGTTGCTGCTTCATGCCCAGTCCTGCGCATCAATGAGCAACAGAGCCAGTGCTTTGTTTGGATTAATTCCCATCTGGCTGTGTGTGTGGGCACTGACATTATAATGATGTTTTGATGCTGTTGTTTTTTTAAAGTAGAGCTGCCTTCAACCTCTGCATCACATACCACTTCCTTTCTTTTAAGCAAACTCTTAACCGCTCACAGTTTGTTTTAGAACATCTTAGAAATTACATTGTGTTTGTTTCCTCCTATTTATACCTAAGTGCTCTCCATTTAAGCCCAGAAAAGTTACTAAAATAAACTATTTTGATTTACTTATATTAATAAATCAAAATAAGGAAATGAGCACTGATGGTACGTTTCCCATGTTGCATTTGGTTGGCCCCTGTCCTGTTTGTCAATGGAAGATGTTTCTTGCGCTTGATCCACTTTGTGTGGAAAGATCATACAGATAATATGCCAGTGATTTAATCCCTGTGTGTGCGTGTTGCTCCTCAGAACCAGCGTGACCCTAGATTAAATGAGATCCTGTTCCCGTTCTACGACCCCAAGAGAGCCATGCAGATCGTCGAGAAATACGAGAGAGATGACGAGTTGAAGAAGAAAGGTAGAGAGCGGCAAAGGGAAGCAGGAGGGGGACATCTTTTAGGCTGTGCTGCCATCTGCCTGTGTACCTTTGAAACTACAGCATATTATATGAGACTATTGGCATAGTTCTGTCAAAATGTCTCTTATCATTTTGACATATCGACAAACATAAAATGAACTGATCGTGCTCATCCTTGGCAAACACAAAATTAAAAGGAAAATTGATGCATATCCAGAATTTCTTTAATCTATAATTCACAAATACTTTTGATTTTAATCCTGTCTATCAGAGTAATAATGTTACTTTAAGTCGAAGTAAAACATTTTTAAAGTTCATTGTAACGACCACCAATTGTTCAAATTGTATTAAGAAAAAATGACAGTTCAATTTCATTCTTACTACCTTACACTTCCCGGTTCCCTATCCCGCAGGTCAAATGTCCAGTGATGGCTTCTGCCGGTACCTGATGTCAGACGAAAACGCTCCCGTTTTCTTGGACCGGCTGCAGCTGTATCAGGAAATGGATCAGCCGCTGGCCCACTACTTCATCAGCTCGTCCCACAACACCTACCTGACGGGGCGACAGTTCGGAGGGAAGTCCTCCGTGGAGATGTACCGCCAAGTCCTGCTGTCTGGATGCAGGTGTGCAGTCTTATTCAATTAATGCAAACACACACAGTTTAAACTTCTTATATATGTATATTACATGAAATGTACATCATCAGTGGGTTCATGCAGTTCCTGTTGCTCTCCCTCTTTCAGATGTGTGGAGCTGGACTGCTGGGACGGTAAAGGAGAGGACCAGGAGCCCATCATCACTCATGGGAAGGCCATGTGCACAGACATCCTTTTCAAGGTACACACACACGCACACACGCAAATGCACACGCACACTTTTCTGGCTGCTTCTATGTTATTGCATTGGGCTTGCCTGCCCTCTTGTGCTGAGCCTATGATATTACATATATCACAGCTTTGCTCTCTTCTCCTTCTCCCCTTTATTGTTTGTATCCTTCTTCCTCTTCCAACAGGATGTTATCCAAGCCATCAAGGAAACAGCATTTGTGACCTCAGACTACCCTGTTATTTTGTCCTTTGAAAACCATTGCAGGTATGTCTACCGTAAGCAAAGGTGTTATTACACAACAATTATGTCATTTTTTATAGATACAGTAGGTTGACCCCATGCTCTTCTGTGTGTCTCTGCAGTAAACCACAGCAGTACAAGATGGCCAAGTATTGCGATGACACCTTTGGCGAGTTCCTCCTCAAACAGCCTCTGGAAAACTACCCGGTAGATACTCTCTTTGATTCAAAAAGTCTCACCAAATCAGTCAAATCCATTGGGATGATAGTTATCTATGTTTTAATGTTTATGTTTTTTATGTTATCTTGGGCAGATTGAATCTGGGCGCCCCTTACCCTCTCCAGGTGAACTCAAACGTAAAATCCTCATCAAAAACAAACGCTTGAAACCTGAAGTGGAACAGAGTACGTACACAACTTAGCCTGCTGACTTTTCTAACGTCTGTTTATCAGCGTTTTGTTTCATTAACGCATGTGTGTTTGTTTGTCATACAGAACAGCTAGAGGCCTTTAAGAAACACATGGAGGCAGGAGAGACCAACACACCTGCCATCATTATGGGAGAGGAGATTGAAGAGGAAACAGAGAATGGTCAGCTGAGTATGTGTGTGCGTGCGCGTGATAAGAAGGGTTTAAGCTGACATGTACACAACAGGAAACCTTATCATAGAATAAATGTTTGTGTCTCATTGTTTGTTTGTGTGTAGGAGAAAAGGAGGTTGAGTTAAATTCTGAGGCCCCCAGCAATCTGTCAGAGGCAACCACTGAGAAAGAGGCCAACAGTGTTTCCCAGAGCAACGCTGTCAGCTCCAAGAAGGACAACAACCTCAGCAACAGTACCAAGAAGGTGGGATGTCACTCTTAACTTTGTTAACAACTGAATTGCTCACATTAACTATTTACACTGCCAGAGATCTAAAAGGGTTGCTTCTATCAGAAACTTGACAGAAGCAACTACAACTTATTGTGTTTATATCATTGGGTAATATCCATTAAATAAGTCTTAATTAAGAATAGACATTGATATTATAAAGAAACATATTATGGAGCGCTGTCTGTGTTTCCAGGTGCCGGACGATGAAGTGACGGAGATGTCTGAAGCCACAGAAGCAACAGACGCCACAGATATCTCAGAAGCATCTGACCAAGACAATAACAAAAAGGTGAGCACATGACTGCTGCTACACTTTGTCACACTCTCATATATCAAACCAATCCATTTTTAAGTGTGTGTGTATGTGATTGTGTGCGCGTGTGTGTAACGGGTGTTTGTGTATGTCCCTGTCCTGCGCAGGTTGCAGAAGAAGCGGAGGACTCTGAGGAGGCTCTGATAGCTCAGTACACCTATGTAGGAGCCACCACTAACATCCACCCGTGGCTCTCAGCCATGGTCAACTACGCACAGCCCGTCAAGTTCCAGAGCTTTGACGTGGCGGAGGGTGAGCTTCCACTTCCTCTATTGGTGTTTCTACTGCAGTCCTGCTTCTTGTACATTCAAATATGGATTATTTTCAGTATATTTGTGTGGTTTATTTCTATGTGCTGCTCTGGTAAAAGCAAAATGTCAAAAGCACTTTCTATCCCCTTTGTTGTGTCTTTCAGAAAGGAACATTCACCATAACATGTCGTCATTCAACGAGTCTGTGGGTTTGGGCTATCTGAAGACCAACGCCATCGAGTTTGTCAAGTATCCTTTGGCCTTAGCTGTGCTGCATTTATCCGAGCATTATAATTGCTTTAAGACATAAGAAGTGGTATTGTCAAATTCTTACAGCACTCATCTTATTCAATTAAGGACATCTTTTTTTACCATAGTGAATATCCAAGGTGACTGAAACTGAAGGCATCCCTACTATGGCTACTTCACCAGAATCTGAACAAAATGCTTTAAACATGGCTGATGTTTTTGGTCACTTAGGGGCAGCAGAAACAACATGTGACATTAGCTTATCAGCTTAAAAAATAATGATATCAAACTGCTTGCTAACATTAGCTTATTTAAACATCTTCCAATTTGTAAGCAACATGATTATTCATTTGTCTGCACGCCTTGTGAATAAATCATAATTTTTAGGTCTCTAGCAAATCCTATGGGGAAAATGTGGTTCTTTAGCTGCTAGCTGTGTCTATCTGCTATGTGTGCTAAGCAGGGAGCATACAGTGGGTCCTCTCTGTAAAGAAGAGGGTAGGTGAAGATCCAGGTATCAATTCTCTGAGGGTTTGTTCCAGCTCTGAAAGTGATGTTAAATGTACAAGTATGTAGCTTTCTGATAAATCTACAGTTTTTAAATTATAGATTGAGGTCACCTAAATGAGAGCTGAAAGGCAGCTCAGAATGGATGTTTTTTAGCCAAATGAGTTTCCACTCTGCTCTTGGAAAAGAACCGCAGGCCTCCAGAGACCAGTGTGACTTGGCTTGACACAAACGTACACACATAAACTGCCTCTCTCTCTCTCTCTCTCTCTCTCTCTTTCTCTCTCGCTCCAATGGGACGGCTTGACCCAAGCTGTTCACACTAAAAATAGTCCTGCAGTCTGTTTGACGCACACACACTCCGATGCATACCCACACATGTGCAGGAACACACATGCTCTCTCTTTAAAAATATAAAAAATAAATTCCTGAGCGTCCATGCAGCTACAACAAGCGTCAGATGAGCCGTATCTACCCCAAAGGGGGCCGGGTGGACTCCAGTAATTACATGCCTCAGATCTTCTGGAACGCAGGCTGCCAGATGGTCTCACTCAACTTCCAGACCCCAGGTACCACAGCACACAACATGGGACCTCTGACCTCACACACACCCCCATATCAAGTAATCCACATACAGCACAAACATCCTCCAAGCACACATGTGTTACCAAATGCAAGCACTCATTTGACCTTCTGATCCAAGAGAAAGTGCAGCATGCAGTGAACTTCTGACCTTTCATATTCATACAGCACACAGAAAGCATCTTCTTTGTGTTGTCAGGATAAACATGGAGTCACTGATAAACAAGCCTCACTGCCCCAGTCATAGCATACATCCAAATATACACATGCCAAGAACAATTAGAACATTTGGACTTTACAAAGATGAATCCGTTTGATGAATTACATTGTTTAAAATGTTCAGTTCTACATTACAAAATAAGCTTTTTTTCTTCTGATGACTTTTAAGTATAGGCCAAGGTTTTTTAGAGATCTGTGCTGGAACTCTCTACTTCCAATACAATGGATACCACATTTACGCGCCACCATGTTATTCCAGACACTGACCAACGTCCTTGAGTCTGTGCTTATTCACAAATACCTTCATAAGCATTTTGTTTAGGGAAACCATAGCGCTATTTCTTGCTGTATTTTTTGCTTTATAAAAACAACCGACTAAATACAAGATCAGGCAAATAAAGTATGTCAGCATACTGTGACATAAATCTAAATCATGCACCCCCCTTTGCAATTAACTGTCTTCCCTAACCATACACACTTGTGAACCATACACACTTGTGAACCATACACACTTGTGGGAACAACAGATTGTAGTTTACAGGCTCTGCAAATTGTTTGCACGTCATTTTGCAGCATTAGGTTATGCATGCGTGAACCTACACACACACACACACACATACACACACTTCATCTGTTTTCCCTCTGAACATCTCTGATAAAAACACACACACACACACGCACACACACACACACACACACACACTTCATCTGTTTTCCCTCTGAACATCTCTGATAAAAAACACACACACACACACACACACACACACACACACACACACACACACACGCCTATGTACGAGTGATGCCTGTTGGAAAACAGCTGCTGCCCCATGGCCAGAGGCAAAAGGGGTCGGACCATATGGCCTGCTGGGAGCTGAGCATGTGCTAGCCTGGAGGGGGGGGGATCACACAAGAGATGGAGTTGCTGTGATGGAGTAATACATGGTTAGAGGGAAGAAAAAGAAGAGAAATGTCAGAGAAAATATAAAGACAAAATAAGTCTTTAAGTGGGAAAAAAAAGTTCAACAGAATACAATGCAAATTATATGAATTGCTTTCAAATGTTGTTGTTTGTGAGTAATATCTGTCATCAACACTTCTCTCATCCGCTCTCAGATCTAGCCATGCAGCTCAACCAAGGAAAGTACGAGTACAACGGCTCCTGCGGGTGAGAACAGCTCCTCACTCCTGTCCTTAGCTCGTTCTTATCCGTCCCATCCCTCCCTCCTCCGCCCCTATCCGAAGCTCATCAATTAAAGCTTGTCACATCTCATTAGTGGTTGCCAGCGGCGACCATAGTTACTGTCTGTCCTGAGAGCCAATGAGTGCTTCGGGGAAGCGGGCTCCACGTAAACCCGCTTCTGAGGCTCTCTGCAGTCATCTATCTCTTCCTGTCTCGTCCCTCGGCTCTAATACTGTCCCTGAGGCGCAGCGCTCACTGCTAATGCTGGAATCTCATATGTGGGAAGATCAGGGCTTCTGCAGACACCCATCATTACTAATGCTACTCAGCTGGCCCCGGGATAACACACACACACACACGCACACACCTTAAGTACCTCCTTATTCCCAATACATTGTTTTAGGGCCTAAATTAAAATTAAAATAATTGTAGAAACTATTAAGAGTATATTGTTATTAGGATGTTGTGTTTCATTCCAGTGTTTCAACATGTGATCTAAAAGGTGGATTGATGTTGTGTCATCAAGAGTATATTGTTATTAGGATGTTGTGTTTCATTCCAGTGTTTCAACATGTGTTTCAACATGTGATCTAAAAGGTGGATTGATGTTGTGTCATCAGGTACCTGCTGAAGCCTGACTTCATGCGGCGGTCAGACAGGATGTTTGACCCTTTCTCAGAGACGCCTGTGGACGGAGTCATCGCAGCAACCTGCAGTGTTCAGGTCAGTCCATGGGACCCTTTACTCGTCTAGGAGAACTGTTCAACCCTATACATAATAAAGAAAACTACAGTACTTTTTTATAAAACTGTTATCCATATAAAATACTCATATTTATACAAGGGTCCATTTGAGGCTTGATTTTGTTGTAGGATTAAAATCTAGGGGGGCGGAGTAGTTTGTTTAAAACACACATCTCTACTTACAATGTTTAAACATTAGCAGATGGTACTAGAATGTACCACATAATGTTAAATAATTCAAAGTCAATAGTTACTACTTCTATAGTGATCTTGTGAAATCCATGTCTGCCAAATAAATGTTCCTAATGATGTCCTCTTTTAAATGTTTTACTTAAGGTGTTCTCTGGACAGTTCCTGTCAGACAAGAAAATTGGCACGTACGTTGAGGTGGACATGTACGGGCTGCCGACGGACACCATCCGGAAGGAGTTCCGCACCCGCATGGTGATGAACAACGGGCTGAACCCTCTCTACAACGAGGAGCCCTTCGTCTTCAGAAAGGTAGTGAGAAGGGCAGGGGAAAGGGCTTGCTGGCCAATGAGGGAGCAGAGGGGGGAGAGATAACAGACACAGTGAGGTAAAACAAATGTGCTGCACTCTTTCCAGCACCGTGTCTTCACAAGAAAATAGGGGATGAAGACAAATATACAGTAAGATGTCAGTTCTAGCAAGAGTAAAGATGAGAGGAGGAAGGCAAGACTGAGGGAGTGATTAAGGAATAAAGGAAAAACTAGCGGAAATAAAACAATTTAGGTGGAAAGAAGAAAAAAGGGGAGGACAAAGGAGAAGGATCAGGGATAGTGAGCGAAAGAGTGTTGGTAATAGTGCTGCTCTCAGCAGAATGAGGAGTCTCTCAGCCATGACTGTGACTCCAGCTTCCTAACACACACCATCAATCACAGCCTGCCGCAGTGCTGCTGTGCTCACACACACACACACACACACACACACACACACACACACACACACACACACACACACACACACACACACACACACACACACACACACACCGCACACTTACACAGTGCTATCAGAGGGGCATCACAAGCAGAGGTGCTGGCAGGACTCGTTTCTCACATCTACAAATGCCCTCAAATACTGCCATACCTTCCTCATGCACCTAAACACATCACTGTCGGGATGACTCAGAGCCAACAACACACACCAGCAGCACTCGCATACTGTACATCAGCAAGGCCACATTTGCGTAATACACACGTAAACACAAGCAGGTGCTTCTACCCATTCATCGACAGTGAGTATTCTTCCATCTTATCTCTTAGCTCCCTCTCCGTCTGGGTATTAATCATCCTCCTCTCCTTTCACTTATCTCCACAAACAAGGCCAGTCAGACTCTCCCTCCATTTGCAAGGGTGTGCACACAAGCTCATCCCAGACACAATTTACACACACACATACAAACACATACATACAAGATGTACTCCCTGCGTGTGTACTAGCTGTGGAGATGGTCTTGTCAGTAGTCAGATATGCTGTGTCGCTGCACTCATGCCTTTTTCCCCGTTTCACACTGTGACCGTCCCCTGCAGTGTCCTCCTTGACCCCCCCCCCCCCCCCCCCCCCCCCCTTAATGATGCCATTACCTCTTTAGCTTAAAACAGAGACTGTTTAACTCCAATGGCTCAGAATAGTTTATTGTTAACTTATTTTTACACCAGAATGCATTTAGGAGACTTCCTACGGTTCCACATGGATAATGTACAACCCTGTACAACTGTGACTTTCATTTTCTGTAACACTTTTTGTCCTCACATCTCTTCACCTCCCCATCTTCTTCCTCCCAACCTCCATTTCCCTAAATCCCTCCCTCCTAGGTGATCTTACCCGATCTGGCGGTCCTGCGCATTGCCGTTTACGACGACAACAACAAGCTGATTGGTCAGCGCATCCTGCCTCTGGACGGCCTGCAGGCTGGCTACCGTCACATCTCGCTGAGGAACGAGGGCAACAAGCCCCTGTCGTTGCCCACCATCTTCTGCCAAATCATCCTCAAGACATACGTGCCCGACGGCTTTGGAGGTGAGGAAAACACACATACAAAATCTTAATGTATATTGCTTTATTCTCAGAGGTGTTCAGTAAATGCAGATGTAAGTCTTTCTAGGTTTATTTGGAATGGTAAGCTATCTCTTACTCGTAAAACTTTCACACGAAGTCCCAAACAATGCAAGGGATTGGTCTTCAATTATACTTACAATACTGGGCAGGTAATATTCAGAGGTTCTCATATCTATACTTTAAAAACAAGGTCACAGATTCTGAATACATTTGGCCCTCCTTTATGACAACCAACCATCGCATTACATGGCCTCTAAACGTTACCTGCACAAGATGAATAAATGCCTTTACTCTAGCCAGACTCAAACTGGCTTTGCTATTTTGGCATTCAATTGAAATTTGTTTTACTGAGGAGTGTTTGCCTCATTTAATGATCATACATTTGCGCTTACTGCCCCCTCCTTACTTTCTCCCTATTTTCTGATCAGGTACTTTGTGATAAAAGTGTCCCCAATAAACCACCATCTATTGTAGATGAGCTTATGTCCTTCTGCTCTGATATACTCTTTAATCAATCATTTGAACAAGCAACCATTTGACAATTTAACTTAATGCAACCCTTTCACTGAGGATATAGGAGATATGACTCAAACATTTGAACAAATCATCCACATACTATTTAAAATAGTCCATGGCTTCCACCTTTCGAAGACTTAACTGTGACCCTGCTTGTATAGGCCAGGAGCTCTAGGTACTTACTATGTTTTGGGCATGGGAGTGTTTCGATCAAACAAAAAAAAGAATTTTAAGTTTTCCACTGACATACTTTGTATTACTGCTCCGTTGATTCATTACTGATAATAAAGTTGTTTCTGTAGCCTGTGGTGAGAAGAGAAAAAAAGGAAAGCAAGGCAACTCTCTTCTGCGCTCGCGCTCACTTACTCTCTGCCTTGGGTTGGTTTCAGCATTCAGAGTAATGGCATGGCGCAAATGATGATGACAGTGAATCTGCAGTAATAGACAGTTTAAAACAGGCAGAAGCATACAAATGAGCAGGATATTGGCATCGTCATTAAATAAAGCCAAGGGGCTTGCACTGAGGAACCATTACTGTAACCATTAGAAGATCTGCTGCCAGAATCACTTCCCTGCCAGACACACTGCGCTCTACTCGGGGCTCAAAATAAAACAAGTTAGAGCCTACTGCAGTCTTCACTGGTATCATTTCTCAGTACATTGCTGTAGTAGTCAAGGTGATCATGCAAGAGGAGGATCGCTTTTGTGTTAGTTTCCCAACATCTGTGTGAGCAAGGCAATACATCCTACTGCCATTCATAATTCAAAATGGCGAGTGTGTGGGAGAGAAACTCCGTCTAGAGGGAACTTTTGGAGTTTAGCCTTTGCGGACCATTTACATGCACATAAACCTATACAACAGAATGTAAGAAAGCAGATTGATATATTGACCCTCATTTTGATAGGCTTTAAATAAACAGTAGTTTAGAGTTTTGTCATAGGTGTTATGTGGAAATGTGGTTAAACATGGCATCCAACAATCCTTTAACCCACCTTTTTATTAATTAATCTTTTCTTTCTCCTGTACTATACTCATACATTGTTTTGTGTGTTTTAGCAATTGTGGATGCCCTATCGGACCCAAAGAAGTTCTTGACCATAGCAGAGAAAAGAGCTGACCAGATGAAGGCGCTGGGGATTGACACGGTACACACACACATACACACACACACACACACACACACACACACACACACACACACCTGATCCTTCAGTTTGAGTTAAAGGGGACCTATCATGCAAAATGCACTTTTTGTACGTCTTTTATACATGAATATGTGTCCCCGGTGTTCCAGGGAACTCACCAAGTGTCAGAAAACACAACCCTCTCTATTTTCCTCCATACCCAAATCTCTAAAAAAGGGGCTGCAACGGATCTGATAAAAACTGATCCAGATTTGAACACTGTCCTGACGTCAGGACGGTGGCGCTTCGGCTATTGGGCCAACTCCACCAATCAGGAGGAGACAGCCACGGCCATTGCCGTTCGAAAGCGCTGGAGACGCTGTAGTACATATGCCAGGCCAGTAGGTGGTGCTGTTCTCACAGAATCAACCCTTGCAAAAACAGAGCTAAAAAATGTCAAATTGAGCAAAATGAGGCATGGCTAAAATGCATGATCTGTTTGGTATTTTGAAAAAAAAAAAAAAGTATAAATATGCCTTATATAGGTATGGTCCTACACTATATTATTCAAATATAGCATGATAGGTCCACTTTAATAGAAAATGCAGAACTGTACCTGATTGACTGGGCGACACTTATGTTACCTCTTATAGCTAAGTTTTAAACTCTGTATACCTGCATCCAAATAACAGTGTGCCTTACCATCTAATTTAATTATTTCTTTTTGTAGAATGACATAGCAGACGTTCCCAGTGGAAGCTCAAAGAATGATAAGAAGGGAAAAGGGAAAGGAGACACGGTGAAGGCCAACGTCACACCGCAGGCCAGCTCGGACATGGCCCAGAGCTCCAACTCGGCTCACAATAACAACGCAGAAAACAAAAAGGGTATACACTGACTCTTAAACACAGTAAAGGCATACATATGAACGTTTGTTGTTAAAACATGACTTTTCTCTGCTGTTTCAGATACTGGACTCGTGCCTAATGTCAGCATTGAGGACTTAAAACTAATGAAGGTGGGTAACTGAACAACTTACTCTAAACACAGTGACAGGGCTCAGTCTGTAGGACAGAAAAGGTGCAAGAGTTGCAGAATGTGTAATCATGTTGGTTCAAAACCAACAGAGGTGTGCTTTATTGAAGTTATTGCTAAACAATCATGTTGTAAAATAAAAGTGAAAAGTTACGGTCACATTACATTGCCATTTTAGGACATTTTCTCATACTCGGTCCTTCAAAAAAACGATGGTCATATTCCTGACGTAGGTAATCGTACAGGTTTCATAAAAGGAGAATGATAAAGAGTAATATGTTTAAGTCTGATGTATAATGTCTACTCAAAGGCTACTCTCAACATAACCTGCAACCAGATTAATAATAGCACTTCTCCCCCTCTGCAGACGTACCTTAAATTGATTAAAAAGCAACAGAAGGAGCTCAACACTTTAAAGAAGAAGCAGGCAAAGGTGGGTGATTGTGTGAGAGCCGACCTGTTGGTAGTGTGTGCAAAGAGGCTGCTGCTTATTCCGGACCCTCATTGATGCTCCACCTTTCATCTCTCACTGCTTCATCCCTGTGTTCGCCTGCACACACACACACACTCACACACACACACACATACACACACACACACACACACACACACATACACACACACACACACACACACACACACACAGTCTGTCCACAACAAACACACACACACATGAGGACACATCATCAATGTTTAGTAAGAAATTATACTTGCTAAGGTGCCTTTCCTTTGACCAGAGCGTACCATAGCGACCGTGGTGAGTGTTCGCTCATTCATAGTGGCTCATTAATTATCATAGTATTAGGTACTATTGCATAACCCATGTATACAAGTGCCATCCAGACCCATCTGTTGACTGTTTGAGGACAACTGTTGGCTCATAACTAGATGTAGACAACAACAACATATTATTATTATTATGACTATCAAAGATTTGTATTGTAGCTGCCTGCTTTTCTATGATATCTGTTTCAAAATGATTCTCAAATATGCTCATGGAGGAAGTTGATGGGTACAACTGCAATTCAAAAGTAGAAAATAAATACTTGGTGATTAACATGTTGTTGTTTCAATAGGATCAAAGTACAATGCAGAAAGCCCACTGCACCCAGGTGGACAAGATGGTGTCACAGAATGAGAAGGAGAAGACCTCCCTGGAGAAACTACTAGAGAAAGCCATTAAAAAACGAGGGTAAACGCAAGAAAAGCAACAGACGTGAAAATAAAAAAGGTCTCTTTAAAGGTTTTACAATTACATTTGCCCTGCATGATCTCATGGTGGTTTCCTCACAGGGAAAACAACTGCCAAGAGCTGAAGAAGGAGACGGAGGATAAGATCCAAACACTGACCGCTGATCACAAAGTCAAGGTAACTTTTTACCCCAAAACAAGCCTCCTTTTTGGAAAGTCAATTATATCATGATTTTACAAAATGAATAAGGATACTCTCTAAACATGGTTTTACCTTTTTGCACTCTATTGGCAATTTATTATTCATCTTAAAAAAGAAAACAAGAAACTAATGTGTCCATTGGTGCTTTGGGAGCAGTAGTCTGCACCATAATGTGATTTACTCTCAGAGTTGTTTTGAGCTGTGAGTGACGAAACCGGGATAGGACCCAGCCCTAGCTGTGATGTAAAGAGCCTGGAGTTACATCGACTGAGGTGTGTATCTGGAACTGTGTGTGTATGCAGGTAAAGGACATCACAGCACAGCACACTAAAGAGTGGTCAGAGCTGATCAGCAGCCACAGCAGCGAGGAGCAGGTGATGAAGGACGGCCACGTCACACAGCAGTGCGAACACCTCAAGAAACTCCTGACCACCGTGCAGGAGCAGCAGACCGTGCAGCTCAAACTCATCCACGAACGGTGAGAGGCTCACACACACACACACACACACACACACACACACACACACACACACACACCACATGTGTACACACCCATTTACTGCAGGTGACCTGTTTCCAAGAGGCTAACTCAAGGTCCCAGTCACCTTACTGTCGCTGTAAATGCAGGGTCTTCAACTACATGTGGCTGCTTGTTCTACAATTTCAGGCAGAGCAAAGAGATGCGTGCCAACCAGGCCAAGATGTCCATGGAAAACAGTAAAGCCATCAGCCAGGACAAGTCCATCAAAAACAAGGCAGAGAGAGAGAGGTGGGTCACACACACACACATATATACTGTATCCATCTATAATGATTAGTAATTCATTTGGAGAAGTGGTTTGTTGTGATTGTTTTTAGCCAATTGTTATGCCATGATCATGTTCTTTTTGCTATTCAGGAGAGTGCGAGAGTTAAACAGCAGCAACACCAAGAAGTTCCTGGATGAGAGGAAGAGGGTAGGTTGTTTTTACCCTTTCCTTCTTTGAACACTAAGCTACAAAATATACCAGTAAATCGCACATTTTAAGTCATAATGAATATATGAATTCCATTGAAATGTTTGGATGTCTTTTACTACTTCAGTATTGTTACATTTCTAAGGAAACATTCCCACTTTAAAAAAAAAACAAAAGATGGGACTGGTCTTAAATGAAACAAGGCCTTTTACTGCTACTGAAAATATTTCATGACTTTTGTTTTGCTTACTTAACAGCAGTAGTCGTGACAACAAGTGTTAAACCTCTTGATTTGATGTTGCATAATTAACTAACACTATGTGACAACCTGTAGTACAGGGCTTTTTACTCATGTGTGTTGATCACTATAACAAATAGAAGATGAATTTAAATGAACTTTGTTGGGTAGATTTATTTTGTAATCTTCATTTTGTGTACAGCGATCTTTGACTAAAAGTCATGGCTTGAGACTGTGTTATTGTTGAAAGTTCTCATCAGTAACTGGGATTTGATTATATTGTGTCCCTGTGTGTCTGCAGCTGGCCATGAAGCTACAGAAAGAGATGGAGCAGCTACAGAAAAACCAGAGAGAACAGTTGGAGAAACTGGAGAAGTTCAATGAGCAGGTACAACAAGTTACAGACCCCACAGGCAGAGTGTAAATAACATTTGAGGCTGGGGACTAGCGCAGTTACCTGGCTGATTTCTTCACTATATGATGGAGGCAGTTTCTGTCTTCTGTGATGTAACCCTAATAGGTTTTGTAGGAAGTTTTCCATATGACTGGCCTCAGAAATTCCCCAGACTCTACCGAGAAAGAACAATGTTGCTCTCAAAGAATAAATAGTCAACTTTCAAGAATCAAAGTCTCAACGCACAATATTATTCCTACATTGAGAGTTTATTCTGTATAACACTTGACTGCACTGTATCTATCTGCCATACATGCATTAAAGCAACATTATGTAGTCATTTGTATTTTTGATTAATTGGAGTGCAAGTCATGTATACCCGCGTATACACATGCATTTGTTATGATCAAAACGTTGTTATGATAACATTAGTAATGATCAAACCTAGCGATCCAAAGCTCCTGTGCTAAACTAACCAATGGTCAGAGCTCCCAGTCCTGGCAACACGACTAACTGAGCTAACGGCTAGCTTAACAGGAGTTAGCGGTTAGCATTACTTAAAGTGGACCTATCATGCTATATTTGAATAATATAGTGTAGGACCATACCTATATAAGGCATATTTATACTTTTTTTTTTTCAAAATACCAAACAGATCATGCATTTTAGCCATGCCTCATTTTGCTCAATTTGAAATGTTTTAGCTCTGTTTTAGCAAGGGCAGATTATGTGAGAACAGCACCACCTACAGGCCTGGCATATGTACTACAGCGTCTCCAGCGCTTTCGAACGGCAATGGCCGTGGCTGTCTCCTCCTGATTGGTGGAGTTGGCCCAATAGCCGTAGCGCCACTGTCCTGACGTCAGGACAGTGTTCAAATCTGGATCAGTTTTTATCAGATCCGTTGCAGCCCCTTTTTTAGAGATTTGGGTATGGAGGAAAATAGAGAGGGTTGTGTTTTCTGACACTTAGTGAGTTCCCTGGAACACCGGGGACACATATTCATGTATAAGAGACGTACAAAAGTGCATTTTGCATGATAGGTCCCCTTTAAGCAACAAGTTAAGCTATCATTTTTTATAAAAAATAAAGCAAGGCAGGGCAGACAGAGGACATCAGGACCAGTCAATCAAATATGATCCAGTCTCACCAACATCAACTAGGTGCAGTAAAGCGTTACACATTTCTACCGAGAGATTATACAACCTGCTCACCAAAGTGACTAAGAATAGAGGTTCGATTGCAGAGTGGAACTGAATGATACTCCATTTACCGCATTACACTCAGTGTAACACCAATTTCTTTAAGCTGTTATTTAAATGTTATTTGATGTATTTGTTACATAATGTTGCTGAAAGGTTACACTTAAAAGAGTATAACCTCTAAAGAAGTAAAGGTCACTTTGCTCATGAAGGTATCATAAATGCATCTTTCCATTTTGTTTTTCCATCTGCCGCACTGTCATCACCTGTACATGTCTTACATGTCTGCACAAATTCATTTGTTTTTTAATATGATTTGCTTCTTCCGGCACAGCTTTTGAAATCACACCATGCAAACAAACAGGTTCAAGGTAGGCATCTCCATCTCACTCAACTCTCCCTCTGATACCACCTTACTGTCAGTCCATCCTTTAGAGATCAGCTTTCCTTCTACCTATGTTATGTTACACATTCAATCCCTTCTGTCTAAAGCAGGTAACTGTTACACGACAGGTCTGCCTTGGAAGAGATTGCAAGATTAAGAAAGAAAGAAAGAATTACTTAGTATTTTGAGATCCTCCTTTCCCCCCCATTTGTATTCTGCAGCTCTCAGGGTGTCAGCAGTGCCAACGAGCAGCTTGAGTCATTTATCACCATGACTCACCAGCTATTACTAAGCAAAAACAGCCAGCTCCCAGCCTGCCCCTCTGTCACATACTATGAAAGCAAATGATGAGTGGAAGTGAACGCCCATTGTCCCACTGCAGACATTTTGTGGCATCCATTTAACTTCACTCCTACGAAGCATGTGGTTTATATTGCGTGCAAAAGTATGTAAGGAAAGGGTTAATCCTCTGCTAATGTTGTTTATTTGATGTTATTTGTCATTTTCTGTCGCTATGTGTCTAACGGTGTTTTCTTTGTTCTCCTCGAAGGCCAAGGACATGCAACAGATGGTGAAGTTGGAGGAGGAGATGGACCGCAGACCTGCCACGGTGGTGTGAGCGAATGAGACAGAGGCACATGTACACGCACACACACACACACACGCACGCACACAAACATGCAGGTGCAGAAACACTCCACCGCTGATAGCCCTCTACCACCCAGAGACATTAACCCTGGTTACATCACTGTCCCTCTACTTTCTGTCATCTTTCACACACAAACAAACAAACAAACACAGTAGCCCTCCCACCACTCAGTTTCTGCACCCTTACCTCACCCACCAACTCTACAACACTGAGCCATTGGTGCTCTGCACTGTTTGGCAGGGGGTTTAACCACTTATATGGAGAGGAAATGTTACCTCGGAAGCAAATCACACAGAATCAGACGTATCCCCTCCTCCACTGTTTGTAGATCGAAATGTTCACCTTCAATGCTCTCTGAATCCTACGGGCAACACAAGCTGCAGCTATGGGTGGACACACACACTCACTCACACACACACACACACAGAACACATGCACAAACACTTTCACTCACGGGAGGTGGATAACCATTCCCTTTTATACTTTTTTGCTTCTTTCTTTCTTTGAAAATGGTACCCGATTAACTGCTCCAGAAACGGCGCGAAGAGGTGAAAAGAATATGTTTAAGATTTAATGTCATTTCAGCACAAATGAAAAAACGTTGTGAAATACACTGTACGCTACACACCAGTCCTGTCCTGAGCACTTTGTATGTGTAGGCCATTATAACAATGTGGAAAATGTAGCAGTGCACTACTGTAGGTTTTCTGTATTTCAGTAAGAATGTATTTTTAAAAAAGAAAATCACTGTATGAAGGAGTAGCAAACACCACGTGTCACCTATACCTACAATGCAAGTTGTGTGACTTCACAAAGATGTATTACTGACGTTTTTGTTGTCCGACAATGTTACAGCCGACTATAAAAAGGCTTATTATCTTTGCTGCGTCAAAAGACTATAAAGGGATCACAATGGAGAGATGTTCACTTTGATTAAGGCCGATTTCCCCACTCAAGTTTTGTTTTGAAATGCTATACCCTAGAGATTGTGTACCTTTTGTGTTTTACTTGAAAATAACATGCTATAGTCATTTTTATTTATTTGTACAATTACCCTCAATCATCACAAGTGTATACCTGCAAAACTCAAAGTGTTATGCTCCTAATTTCGGGCTCAAAATCACATATACTATGCAAAAAACAAAACATGATTCCCTTAAAGCTTAAGGTGCAGAAAATACAGAAAATCAATTATAACCGTGACCAAAAGAAATAGAGGAAAATGATACAGTAATAGTTACCCAAATGTTTTATTTGTTTTGCCTTTAATGATGACTAAACAACATGAAGGTAATACATTGAAAGCAGAGGCTCCATAGTCTAAAACAAGACATCAAGCTCTATAGCACCCACATTGTCAAGGCAAAAGGCCTAAGAGCCCTAGACATAAACACTGCATCACTGTATACCAGAGAGTATCTACAGTAGCATATACATCTCAGCAAAACAGCCAACTGTCACTGTCCCAGGAGGCAGGCAGTGGACCAACCGGAGAACTGTTAACTACCCAGAAAAGAGGCCCGTTGACAAAGTAGGCAAATAAAAGATGGAAGGTTTAAAACTGTTATTTCTTCTAAGCCAGATCAGTAACTAACAACACCTGGCCATGTTGCTTACAATATGAACAAGCAGATTGAAAACTTGCACATATAAAAAAAGTGGGCAAAGTTGTGGAGAGTTTTGCACTTGAAACTCGTGCCAAATCCTTAACACACATGTAGCAAAATGTGTCAATGTTTGGCAGCACATTCATTCTGCTGTAATACATTGTGTTAATTGAGCAGCCCATCACCATCGGACAAGAACTTTTGCAGAGCGAAGTCAAAGCCATCTGGCCTAGTCAGTGTCCCCCTCATTAAAGCGTTGTTTAAGTGAAGTGCTCCCTTAATAGCTTCTTGACTGCACGTTAGCAACCTCAGCTTGTAATCCTCAACGTTTCCCTGCTCGCCTTCAGTCAGGGGATGTCAGACTGAGTCATTATAAGAGATTTGTAACAAAGCCTGTGACATGGCTGCCTCACACTTTCCACACCAGGGACTTCAGAGCAGGCCTGTGTCCCCCACACGTTCCCTTACTGTTTATGGCACTACAGAGCACTTGAGGAAGCACTATTGTCTGCAGTCTTGGTGACACTGCTGGACAAAAAGCCCCTACAGGGAATGACATGTGAGGTGAAGTACGATTATAAAGTGATACTGTGGGTACTGTAGTATTTGTGCACATATGACGATGCCTGGCAGTCACATTGCAGGGCATACCACTAACAAAGATTGACCAAAAGTCTTTATAATGATGACACAAAAAACATGAGTATAAAAGTACCTCGAGGTATTAAGCCCTTTTTAAAATATATTTTCTGTGATTTCCTGCTGTAACACACATATAGGGTAGATGGGATTTTCTTGTATATACTGGAATGTATGTAGTTTAATTTACTTTTTGCCCAATTGTGTTCTGTCATACAAGGGCTTGGGATAGAGTGGGTCTGTGGGATGTTGGGAAAGACATTTATCAACCACTGGGTTTTCTTTGTTGTCTCCGTCTCCCAGTCTGCCCTGACTGCACCACACAACACAGTATAAAGCTCACACCACATATCTAGTGCAGAGATAAACAAGTCAAAAAGTGCTTTTAAATTTTATTCCATCGCTTTCAAATGTGCCACTCAGTGTCTGCTAGGATGGTAAAATTATTTTGTGAATGATAAAATGCCAAATTAAGGGGTTATTTATATGAAGATATATATAAATAAATGAATATATATATATATTATATATATTAGATATAATGTGTAGTTTAAGAATATTATGTTTGTTAGAGGCTTTGTTGCACTAGTGGAATGTTTTTGTTGTGTGATTACATGTAACCTTTGGCTCTCTAGTTTGTCAAAAAGCCGATTATTTTTGCAGAGCAAGTCACCGATTTCATTTCCTCAGTTTCTACTGTATCTCCTCTCTGTTTTCTATTTGAACTGTAGCTTGTCAACAAACCATTCTGTGCGTGTTTTTGTATTTATATTGTATTGTTGAACTTAAAGCAATGAAAATACTGTTGTTATCCAGCTCCTTTAATACTGTTTTATAGTATGTGTACCAATAAATCCAGGTGTAAAACGGGACATGATGAAGAGGCTCATTTTTGTTTCATCCAAGTATATTTTTTTGTTGTGTCAGAATATAATCCTCCTGTGTTTTGAACACAGTAGTGCTTAACACTATTGATATTTCATTTTTTCTTTGACCCATCATTAAAACATTATTCAGATCCAAGATTGTTTAAGCTCTTACTCCCTTCAGAATCATTTTGAATGGAACATGTTTTAAGTGGTGTCATACTGTATTAGCGTGCAACGCCCGCGCACTTATTTTCCAGACAATGAATACTGCTGTCTAATCACATTCAACAAGTGCAGGATCATTCAACATCGCAGATCCACTCGTGAGGCTGTTGATTGTCATTATAAGCAAAGTATTTCCATTTGAAAGACGAACAAAGCGCGGGGTTTATGTTTGCGTTGCCTGGCAACTCCGTGGCTGCCCTCTTCACTATATAACAGAGGTGATGTGTTGTTTTTGTCAGCACTCGTCCCGTTTTTAGGAGAGGTTTCCAAACCTGCTCCATATCCTTTATAGCTGAACTTTATCTGATGAGGAGCCCATTTCAGAATCATGCTCAAGGCTCAGGGAAAGTCCAATGAGCAAACAGGCACTAAGATCCTCCTGGAGGCGATGTCCAAGGATAAAGTCCACCTGGCCAGGTTCGTTCTGGACGCGCTGGATGGGGAGATTGTGGACTGCAAAACAGAGGACGCACAGACCCCCCTTATCTCCTCCATCCTGCTGCCTGATGGCCACACTCGGTGTAAGTTTGTAGAGCTTCTGCTGCAGAAAGGCGCCAGTGTGAACTGTCCAGACGGAACCGGGCGCACCGCGCTCAGTTACGCCTGTGAGCAAGGCTCCCTGGACGCTGTGAAGATCCTGGTCCGACACAATGCAGACCCGGAGGTTGTGGACGTGTGGGGGAACACTGCGCTAATGTATGCCACAGTTTCAGGGCACTCCCATGTGGTAGAGTTTCTGGTGAGATCGTTCAAGAGGCTGGGTCTTCGGATAGACAGGCAGAATAAAGTTGGAAACTCTGCAGTTGCAGTAGCGAAGTTTCTCGGTCACACAGAGTGCGTCTTTGCGCTCACAAACAGTTTCAAGAAGAACCGGGAAGCTCAGGGAAATGCGCAGCCGCGACTTAGTTTGGGAAGTGTTGATGTTAATGACACGTTTGGAAGGAGAGTTGGAAATGTAGTGAATAAACTTGAGGACTTCCAAACGTGTGATCATGCTGATTGTTTATTGGTTCCAAATTGGAGTTGGCCAACAAGGCCTCGGGTAAAGCAGAGTCGGCTGCCGTCGATGGACTCTATAGAGGAGTTTGAAAGAGAGCAGGACGCTTCCTCCTCGCCTCCACAGCTGGTCTTCTCCGGAGTTCTAACCCCTAAACCCCCTCCGCGCACTTCAGACCACCACAACAACTTTACGCACCCTAAAACTAGCGATGACCACCTCCCCCTACCTAAACTAAGCTGTGAGGCTCAAACATCATATTTTCCCAGCGGAAACATCCACAGACCCAGCGCGCCCTCCGCCCTGGGCATCCTACTGTCTCCCATTCCTTCCAAAAAAAGTGAGGCTGACTCAGTGACAGACACATCTAAAACATTAGAGTTTGGTGTGCGCAGATTTTGCGACAGCTACTATGAGAAAAGGTGTAGTCTGCCAACTAGTATCCTCAGACCCACACCTCCGGACCGAACACTAGTGCCTGTGCGTACATCCAGAACCGTGAGGAGGCGCGAGGCGTCTCCCTGCAGGGCTGAACCTCCTCCGTTCACCGCACTAACTTCTACTACTTCAAACACGACCTTCTCGGTGCTGAGCAACAAACTATTGCGCCGGTTCACCTCCCCGGAGATTAAAAAGAACCCAAAAGAGTTGGAGGAGAGTCCCATGTTGGCTTCAGGGCAGATTCCGCGATCAGAAACTTTTCCTCAGTGCAGAAAACACCCCCAAGTGGACAGTAAACCCAGCATTGACAGCATCAGCTCGGTCAAGTGCGAGTTTGGCATTTTTAAATAAAAATGCCACTTTGCGTAGAAAGTGTTTTGCCACTTATGTCAAGATTCTAACGTTACTTTTAGACCTAGTTACATCGCAGATATGATCTGTAACAGCCATTGTTCTACTTCTCTTAATTCATCTCCTTGTGATGTGATCCTCAGTGACCATCGAAACTCAAATGCCTTGTTTGCAAGTGATCATAGAATCCAGCAGCGTAATGTTCTCCTAACTGTACAGCAACACTAGCCTGTTCGCTCTGCAAACGTTTCTACAAACTTAAATCCGGACGTTTTTAACGACTAAACAACAAGAACAGCAACTTAAAACACTTTGCCCAAACGTGCGTAGATGCCAGCTCCTGCCAGGAGGATATTGCAGCCACAGAGTGAAACGCAATGTAAAACTTCCAGTTTCAGTGTGTATGGTTCAGCCCTTACAGAATGGGCGGGGCTTCCATCGAAGGTGGAAGGGTGATAATAAATACACAATTAGTCAATTCAGCATTTACTCATGTTGTGCTAATATTTCATATGTTTTCTGTTATCATATTATTCTTGAATTATGTAAGATGTTATGTCATCTTTAATGATTTTATTGGTGGCTAACAGTCAATAAAATCTCACTTTCTGAAATGAACTGTGTCCTGAGTGTGACAGAGAGAACACAAATTCATTATCAAATCAACATTGATACAGCAAGACAACAAATATGTGGTTCCAGTTCCAGTTTAACTTGTATAACTTCTGAGAATTTTAAAATGCGTAAGTGCATTTGTAAAATTGTATACAATCTCACTCTGTTGAATAATACTTATAACATATATTCATTATAATATTTAAAGTCTCCATATTAGATGAAAGGATTTGTGCAACATTCTCACTAACTCAGCTGCAACCTTGCAGAAGTGGAGTTTGCAGGAGGCAGGGAGGGAGGGGGTGTTGTCGGCATTACCCTCTAGACATACATCATTTCAGCCCAACCTACAGCTGCTGCACAGAGATGGACACTACAGCATTGCGGGGATAAGCGAGACTGCATGCCGAGTCCTTCTTTACAAGAGAGTAATTCAGGTTTCCAACTTTTTCTTCAAGAACGATCATTAATCCTGATGCTAATAATGTGTAGAAGGGGCTCAGTCCTGCAGCTGTCACTGGGTTAAACCCCTTCAACCTTGGCACTCTGTTTGGCCGGCCAAAACTCCTCAGAGCCGGCTGCTCCTGCAGAGCAAACCGGATCTCACGTCCAACCTGGAGACAATTTTTGCTGCATTCAGGATGATCTGAGCGTGACTGCTGGGTGCTGAGTGGAGGCATCCCCCCCTCTCTCTCTCTCTTTTCCTTCCTTCCTCTCCCGCCTCCCCTCTCTGTCTTTCTTTCTCTTCTTGTCGTGGGTTCAGCACGGGCTGCCCAGTAGTTTAGCCCCTTTTTTTCAGCGCTGGGAAAGCTGGTAGCGATGGGACGACTCGATTTCAGCACCACGGAGAGCGCCCGGCTTCTGCTGCTCGCTGTATTCGGTAAGGGAGTGTGTTTAGTGTGTGTGCAGCTGTCGTGACTCTTCACTGCAGTGAGTGTGTGTGTGTACGTGTATGCGTATGCACATTATGCGCGTGTTTAGGCATGACAGAGTCGATGTGTGTGGCATATTTCACATGTTATTTCCTCCTTAAATGAATATAAAAGTCGTTCAACGTGTTCAGCACTTTCTGACGTTGTTGAGACTGCAGCCAGTGGCGTGCTGTTGCTCCCCTGATACTGCAGATTTCCCTCTCCGGGGTTTTTACCTGACTTTGCCGTAAGGAAACAGTGGTGATCTAAAGATGTGAGCTGAATCTAAAAGATGACCATTATGCCGCTGTATCTGCTGATTGTGCATGTTTTGGGATGTGTGTGCCCCTTCTGATACCCCGCAGACATAAATTAGCCCCACCTGCGACTTCTTAATATTCTGTGCGGCTCTGTTGCCAGGTGTGCTGGCGCTGTCCGTGGTGCTGGCGGAGCAGGAAGGGGAGAACCTTTCCGGTCTCTCCAACAACCCGGACAAAGCCATCTTCGCCGTCCGGGAGAACGGCACGACATGCCTGATGGTGGAGTTCGCCGTGAGATTCCTCGTGCCATATGACGTGCTCGCGCTCAATGGGATAGACGTAAGGAATCCCCCGTGAATATTAATACATGTGGATGTGCATAATTGAGTAAAAATAATAAACGCAATGGTTGTTTCAAGCAATCTTGCGTAAAATATTGCTTTATGCTGAAACATGACAAGGTTTGCTTGTCGTGCGTAAAGGTGGTTAGAGCACAAAACCTTTTTTTACATGCAAAATATTTTGCCGTTTATTTCAATTGCGGGTTTTTTTGCGCTTATAAGAAAAATGCACGTTAGAATTGTAATGGGAAACTGCTTTTGTATAGTGTGTAGTTGTGCTGACCATGTCAAACCCATCATCAAGAAAATAAAATATTGTTTTAAATATCAAACTTATCATTATATATATATTTGGACTCGTTATTGTTTCTGCTTATAAAAACTACTAATTATTTGCTGCTTTTTGCAAATTGGGTTACACTATTCAGTCGTGCGTAAAAATGGAATGCTTAAAACCAGCGGCATTAATCCGTAATGTGTCCCCATCTGTTAACTCTTTGCACGTGCTTTCTGTGTGTTTTGCAGCTGATCACGGAGCAGGCGGCGTTCACTCTGCCCCGAGGTGCAGAAATCGAGGGGACATGTGGGAGCACGGAGTCAGAGATCCAAATATCCTGGAAGAACAACGCCTACACCCTCCGCATCTACTTCTCTAAGGTGGGCGAGTCAACGACAATGATGCATATACTGTACCATATGCAATTTAAAACAAATTAAAGCATCTCCTGGAAACATAGCAAAACGCCAACCCACACTAAATATACGCTTTTAGACATGTGATGTCACTTGGAATCCTATTTTGGTTGGGAAATTAATCATGATGCAAGAATCGTGTTCGTTGAAGCCTGTTCCCTGAATGAAGTCAAA